ACAATATTCCGGATGCTATTGACCTTCTTGGCGATCCTCCGGATGCAGCGCAAGACACAAGTTCAAATGGGTTTAGGTTTTGGTGCTCTGTTTTAGTTATTCACCTTTTCTTTAAGCTCTAGTCGATTAGCGTTTGTGTGTTATTCCATTTTTCTTGGTTTCTCCCGAAGGCACACACGGACCTAGCCTTTTTATTTCCACACAAAACTTATGTCAACCTTTGATTTAAGTGGCTGGTTTAACCTTGATTTATATCAACTTTCATTGTTTACATCGTTTTTTCAAGTACATATATCAACGAACATGTTCTCAACCGTTTCAAGTCTCTGCTGCTATTACCAAATCTTTAACTTAACCCATCACACTATCATTTAGACGCGGTCTTCATCACTAGAACTCGAACTTTCCACTACACCACCCATTATAGTGTTGCTCTCAACGGTCGATGTAGGAGTTACAGAGGTAACAACGCCAGCAGCCGGTTTTCGGGTAATTGCTGCTGGTTTGGAAGCAACAAGTCCTTGTTCCTCCTTGGTTTCGCGAGCCGCTCTTTCCTTAGCTTTCTTAGCTCTTTCAAGAACCTCTTCCTATAAATAAGTTTACAATCATTAACTCCACATTGTAAATGAAGATCGGACAACACAGTAACGAAAAAAATCAATAGCAGTTTTCGAATACATGTCACACTATTAACAGTAATCTCGCAAACTAATCGCAGTTTTCAAGTACCGTTCTACAAAGCTCACAAAACCTACTCGGCTCAGTACTAACTAACTTTTTGAGTATCTTCTATGAGTTTCCATAACCTAACACAATGCTTCTTCATTACAAGATTCATCGACAAAGACAAGAAGAGAGTTGAGAAATAAATAACCTGAATCTCTTGAACTTGCTTCTGTTGCTCAGCTTGAAACCTTCCAATAGTACCCAAAACTTCTCCAACAGTAGACTCAATTCTTTCATTGATAACCTCAGCTAATGCTTTCCCCAAAAAGAAAGCATCTAACACACTTCTGTTCTCATTTTCACCTGCCAAAAAAAAAAAGAATCAATTTGTTCTAATTAACACATATCAGTGGAAATCAAATGAAACAATGACGATAAACCCTAAATTTTTTTTAAAATTTTCAATCACCTGAATCTGAACCGTGGGTGCCTTTGCTGCACCGTAAAGAAGTGCTTCTTCTTCGAGACTCCACAGCTAAGCGGCGAAACTCAAAATTGGAACGAGAATTGCGGAGAATGAAGGATTGCCGAGAGGGTTGATAGTAGGAATTGGAAAGAGAGAAGGAGGAAGGAGATGGAATCGTGAAGCTACTCATATCTCTCTCTTTCTCTGAAACCGTCGTCTCTGGAAGATGAACGGGTTTCGGGTTTTTGACCAGTCGATACGGATTCAAAATTATAATTGGGCCTTTAAGGCCCATACTCTAACCTCTTCTTTTTTTCGGAACCTCTTTCAATCAAATTGGATAACAAAAGAAAATAAGGAAATAAGTACCAATAATATCTATACATATATTAGGAAATTAGGTGTTTCAATAGAATTTTATATTTTTATGAGTTATTAGATTGTAATCTCCCGTAATGTTTAGTTTTTTTTTTTTTGCCTCATTCGGTAAATTGGCCATTCCATGTCTCATTTAAACTATTTTATTCAATTTATATGATTATATCAGGGGAAAACGGCCAAAATCAACCTATACTATTTGTCGGCGGCCTTTTTCAACCTAAACTCCGACCCCCTGTCATTCTCAACCCGAACTATTGTTAAGTTCAAATTTTAAACCTGAACTAGTATACATTACGCAAAAATCAACATTGACATTAACGGTGTTAGTCAACCGTTAAAAATGATGACTAAGACGCCACTGTGCAGTTGACGTGGCAAGCAAGACGCCACTGTGTTCAATACTACGTCGTTTTGATTGAATAAAGTTATATCTGATGCAGCGCATCTTCTCTTATCAAACACACTTGAGCTTTACGTGTGTGATATCGATCTATCATTATTATTTTCGTTTGGGCTTTGCTGTTGTTTCGTTAGCACGTTTCTTTCTTTTCACGTTGTTGCTTCATAAGGTTTTAAACTCTTATTTAAGGATACTTCAATTGTACTTTGAACGCAGCTTTTAGATTAATAATAGAAACAAAGAAGTTCTTCTCCTCTTTAAGTCTTTGAACTCTCTCTTCTTTTGATCCATTGATACATAAGAATGAGAACTCTTAGCTACGAATATGCTCTCTTCGAATACATTGATCTCAAGAGACCTTTTCGTATTTATCTCCCTGCATTAATATCTAATGACTTCATTTGGTTTTCTCTTATGAAACGTCAGGTATGAATCAAACATAGTAATTTAGATGAGGTATGAAATGGCAGATTTTACTGCCTTTTTACTATCAAAGTTTAGATTCGATATGTAAGTACACATTATAAACTTTGTCAAAGTTTAATTTTATGTAATTTGAATTTCGATTTATAACCCATTTTCTATTAAATAAAATATTTTCATTAAATCTCGTAATAAATCGGATTAACATTATAATTGAACCGAAAATCTGATAAGATGCAATTTAGACCTCAACTAAACTTTCTAGTTGGGAAAGAAGGTTTTAAGCCTCAAAACTTTTTCTTCCGGCGTTGAAGCTTAAGAATTAAGGTTTCGTTGGAGACAAAAGAGTTCAACAATGGGGATTTACCATTCAAAGAATTATTGACCAGTATAGTTTATTAATTTTTCTAGATTTGAAGCTTATAAGTGATTGAGTTTAGGCAAGAATTTTAAAATTCAGTGTCTTCGAATTTTTTATCTTCGAATTTGAGTTTCGAGTTGGAATTTTGGGTTTATAAGTTTGAATTTGAGTTTTTGAACCAGTATCTATGTTTGTAATTTTGAATTTGAGTTTGAGAAAAAGATTTTTGAGAAGTTGGAAATGGAAGTAGAAGAAAGGGTAATCGAGAGGATAAAGTTGAGACTGAGGCAAGAAACTAAATTTTGCCTGGGGCTAAAACTCGAAAACCCATTTCTTATTAACATTGTTGTCAATTTTTCGAAGTGACAAACTTTTACAAAGCTTCAAATTTGTTTTTTAGTCAAATATGTGATATCGTATTTTTCGCCGAAACTGTAAAATTGGATTTTCCGTCAAAATTATTAAATTGCGCTTTATCACAAAAAATCATGGATTTGTATTTTCCTAAAATTATTATTATTTGTTATCCTTTCAATTATATAATTGTTAATTGAGAAAAAATTTAGAAAACTAGAGTAATAAAACAAATAGTACATTAACGGTTGTAATCTAGTGGTTAGTATTGTTTACTAAGACCTTGAGTTCGATTCTCCATAACACAAAAGTTTTTAAACGAGGATACAAAATACCATATTTCGATAGCTCAAATTGAAAGATATCATGGTGTAATCCAAAAGATCACATGATTGCGTGAAATCTAGCACGAAGAAATTATTAAAGGTTGGCCCAAGCATAGATGATGTATGGGCCGGCATCGGTCAAGAACCTCCTTGTTATTGAGAAAAAAAAGCCAAGGTTGAAGAGATAGGAGAAATGGAGAAGGAACATCACAACATAACAAGAATCCCTTTTTGCCTCATAACAGAACAACAACATGAGGTTTAAGATTGTCAACCTATTTTCGCCAGTTTTTTAACCGAACTGATTAGAGCCACCATTGTCCGCTACTTTTTCGCAAAAAAGTTTGTTTTTTTTTCCTTCGTAAAATATGCCAAATACCAAAACTTTGCATGGAAAAATACCGAAAAAAAACACTTTATCTATTTTTTATCTGGCCGTTAAATACCCAATAGTTTTTTGTTGGTCTAAAAATACCTCATTTAAATATATTTAACCTAAAATACCTTATTTTAAAATTATTGGTGAATTCAAATTCGCCACTTAACAGTTGTTAACGGACGTAACAGAATCATCTAACGGCGCTAAAAACATATATATACAACCTGTTTACATCATAATTTGAATATGTTGTCTTGGTCTAGTGGTTAGACATGGGTTGGTTTTTCACTCTCAACTCGGTGCAAAACGTGTAAACACGAGTTCGGGGGCATAAACCAACACGTGTAGAAGATACAATTGTAAAGAAATTGCTATTGTATACTAAATTAAATGTTGCAATGGTTCAACAAAACGGTTACAACTGTTTATGAAGAGTTATAATAAAAGATACAACTGTAAAAGAAATTCGGATTGCAACTTGCTAAGAAAACACAATCGTAAAATATATTTTTTTAGTTTTAAAATAATAAAGAAAAGTTGCGATAAAAAGACACAACTGTTCACAACTACAAAAGATATTTATTCAGATTGTTATTATTATATAGATTTTATCAAATTTTGTTATTATATACGTTTTATTATAATATATTATACTATACATATTTTGGTAATTTTCGATTTAACCGTTGTCATACCCGTTAGTTAACCCGTCAAAAAACTTACATAAATGCTCCAATTTTCAACCACTAAACAAATCGTTCAAAACACTTAATAACGGTTGAAACCGTAACCGACCGCTTCTAGCATGCTTTCGCAGTCGCAACGGTTTTAATCCAATCAGACCCTAAAATTGATAGTTAGTTCAATTAAAATTCAACATAATATTTATACAAAATTGCAAGAAAACTTACTAAACTTTCTAAACAAACATTTATATCATAATAATAATAAAATATTTATATCATAATACAGTATATATATATATAAACCCTCTCGTCACCTCTCACATCTCTCTTTCTCTATCACTAGATCACTCACATAGTCACATTCTCTCTCTATCTCACATAGGAGAGGAAAAACTCTAACAACAACCAACAATATGGTGGTCGCTAGAACATTTTTCTCAATCTCAGCAACTCTAATTATAATTCTAGCACTCTTCCTCCATGTAAATGCGTAAGTTCAGAGATTCACAATGTGATCTCCGTTTTCTATATAGTTCGAACATAGATTCTTACGTTGATTTGTATTACAATGCAGAGTTCAAGAAACAAGGGAATCGAAACATGAAAGCTCAAGAAATACATCAACCGCAGATAAGTGAGTTCTCACATCAGCTTTTAGTGTAGATTTGATCTCAGCCGTTCATAGTAAAACGATGACGTTTTTGCATGTTCTGTTTTCTCAGTTTATCAGACGGTGAATGGCATGAACACGCCGTTAAAGACCCAGAAGAAATAGCAGCACTGGTCGATATGTGAGTCTCTCAATAGTCACTATATACATATAACAAAAAAACTATTTTATTAGATATAAAAACTACTTTATTAGGTATATTTCGTATTAGTAACGTTTTAGATAGTCAAACTAGATGATGCTTTAACATTACTAAACCTATGTGTAGACCAAGAAAAACATTTTCTACATCTTAAATTTCACTGACTATGTAAAAAGTTAGTTTTGTCTAGTAGTATTAATGTTCTCTATAAGAACTTTTTATTAATAAGCATTGTGATCCACAAAATTTAAGATTATTATCAATATATATGACTGAAATGTACTTTTGTTTCCACATTCTTGTTCTGCGAGGAAAAAATTAAATATACATGTGAAACACTTCTGACATAAAAACAGTAGTTTTATTGAATAAAACCACAAACCGTGATTCCTATTTATACCTCACTATTTTCTTCTTAAGATCCACCGACGCATTTGTATTAATATTTACATACGTACGTCCTCTCTGAAGAGTGATGATTAAAAACATTTTTTCATTTACGGAATTGTTTAATATCTTCTATATATTTATTTATATTTATCACTTACTTTTCAATTAAATTTTCAATGGTATATAGTATTATATAGAAATCTGAATCTGGTTCCCATAATTATATTTTTGCACTTTGACAAAAAAAATTATATTTTTGCATTTAATTACGGAATTATAGAGAAATATGACCCCAAAAGTTTCCTATATGGATCGTATCCCATGAACATGAAATATATAATTCCTTACAAGAAAACATTAAATTACCCACGTGGGGCCACCTCACCGTGTCAAATTAAATTCAAGAATCAATTACGGATTTGCCATTTTTTTTAATGGCATTTGTGGATTTTGCCCTTTTTTGAATAGTTTGTGGATTTTTGCCCTTTTTCAGGGTGATTTAACATGCGTTTTATCCATTATGTTTGGGTTTAGTCGGTTCCATTTGTTCTTAAGGTTTAATATTTGGTATAAAGTACGTATTTTTGCAAAAAAAAATCGTAAATACGTACATTTTTAAGTGTTAAAAAATGGCAAATCCATAAGATTTTTGTAAAAATGGCATTTTTAAAAGTTTTGGGTAAAAAAGGACAAAATCAACAATAATCCCTAAATTCAATGCTTTCTTCTATTTTGCATCTTCCTGTCTCCTATATCTTGACTTTTTAACACACTCAGGGTTGATTTTCACAATCCCAAAACTCACGGGTTAATTTGATATAATCTATAAAACTTTGTTCTCTTTTTGTAATATCATTTTATTAATTGGAGCATGCAGGAGCATACGTAACAGTACGTATCGTAGAAAGCTAGGGTTCTTCTCCTCTTGCGAAACTGGAAACCCAATCGATGATTGTTGGCGATGCGATAAAAAATGGCATCGCCGGAGAAAACGATTAGCGGGTTGCGCGATTGGTTTCGGACGTAACGCAGTTGGAGGCCGTGATGGACGTTACTACATTGTTACTGATCCATCTGATCATGATCCGGTTAAACCAAAACCTGGTACACTCCGGTACGCTGTGATACAAGACGAACCGCTATGGATCGTCTTTAAACGTGACATGGTCATTACTTTAAGCCAAGAACTAATCATGAATAGCTTCAAAACGATTGATGGTCGTGGCGTGAACGTACATATAGCTGGTGGTGCATGTATCACGATTCAGTACGTTACGAATATTATCATCCATGGGATTAATATTCACGATTGTAAGCGAACCGGTAACGCTATGGTTCGGAGTTCGGAGAGTCATTATGGTTGGAGAACTATGGCTGATGGTGATGGGATTTCGATTTTTGGATCGAGTCATATTTGGATTGATCATAATTCTCTTTCGAATTGTGCTGATGGATTGATAGATGCAATTATGGGATCTACTGCTATTACCATCTCTAATAATTATCTCACTCACCACAATGAGGTTAGATATTTTTTCATTGATTCTAGTAATTTATGTTTACCAAATTTGGAGACGATAGTTAGGTCATAATATATCAAAAGATATTATTACTATCGGTGCAAAAGTTATGAGTGGTGATGATTTAGGAGTGCATGCATTTACGATGTTTAGAAATAATTAAATACAAGGGGACATGAAATTCAGATATATATTTCGGATAATTTGGAAAAAAATTGGATACATTTTCAATAATGTTTCACATTTTATGAAATTTAATCCATTATGTTTCTCTTCGGAATAAATTAAACTGTCCCAGATGGTAATTAATTCCTCGGAAAATTCAGGATTGGTATGGCCAAGTCGGGAAATCTGTCCCGAAATGGTCATGCCTAGTTTAGGTTTGTGTGCTTATCTTTTGATCAAGAAGTTAGTTTTTTTTTTTTTTTTTGGCATTATCCTTAAAAGCTGACAATAGATGATAATACAGGCTATTTTGTTGGGGCATACCGATTCATACACCAGAGACAAAATGATGCAAGTAACCATTGCATACAACCATTTTGGAGAGGGTCTTGTACAGAGAATGCCAAGGTTTTTCATCTAAGTTTCATTTCATTTTTTCGATATATTTGCTTTCTTCATATGGTCAAAATTTAAATACTATATTGATTTTCCTTAGAGAACCAGTCAATTTTCGAATGTTTTAGAGTTTGGAATGTTTGGTGTTATTTCAGGTGCAGGCATGGATACTTCCATGTTGTAAACAACGATTACACTCACTGGGAAATGTATGCAATTGGTGGAAGTGCTAACCCTACCATTAATAGCCAAGGAAACCGGTTCCTTGCCCCGGGAAACCGTTTCGCGAAGGAGGTATTTAACAAAACCCATTACATCGGTTTCTAGTTAACCGAGATTGCTCAAAGATGCATCTAAGCTAGAAGATCTAATTTGAGAATTCTAATCAAGAAAATTGAACATAATGACTAATTTGAATATTCTTTCGGCAGGTGACGAAACGGGTAGGTGCAGGGGAAGGAGAATGGAACAATTGGAATTGGAGATCCCAAGGAGACTTAATGCTCAATGGTGCCTACTTTACTTCATCTGGAGCTGGAGCTTCTGCAAATTACGCCAGAGCCTCTAGTTTGGCTGCTAAATCATCTTCCCTTGTGGGTATGCTTACCTCTAGCTCTGGTGCTTTGAAATGCAGGATCGGTACGCTTTGTTAATTATTTGTATTTTGTATAACCAAAAGCGAACACATAGAGAAAATATATGAACAGTGAGAGAAAGAAGAAAAAATAACTCATTTTTCTTTGTTCACATGTCTTGACTTCAAGTTGTAGTATAGTGCATTGTTCTACTAGTGTCTATGTACAATATATTCTTCTATCAATGAATTGCTTCGGATCCCAAATTACTTATTTCAGTATGTTTGGAATTTTAGGAATAAATTAAAACAGAATGGTTTTGTTATGAAAACCAACTAAGTGGGGGAATAAACATAAAAACTAACTAAGCAATGTGTTACGAAGATTGTGTCTCAAAATGGAGTTTGAGATTCACTTCTTATTTTGTTCTGGCTATACAAAGCCGGTATGTTCTCTTCCTACTGCCTAACCGAAGGCACGGGAGCACAACATCCCATTGCTAGCTTCAATGCATGAACTAAATCGTTTTCCATAGTAGGACTCTTTATTCCCTTTAGAACCTCCAAATCGAATATCTCTGTTGTCGTCTCCTCTAAAACCGCAATTTCAACCAATGAAAGCAAATCCACAAACTCGTTCTCTCCGCTTTTTCCTGGTTTCTTCCCCATTAATATCTACAAGAGAAGGATTCCAAACGCATAGACAGCAGTTCTTGGATTGCATTTCTTCATCTTGTGGAGTTGAGGAGTTCTGTTGCTTTGTAGCCATCAGATTTCGCCTATGACATGACCTCATCAGCTACGGCTTGTACCATTAACTTTTCAAGACCAAACTAAGTGCATTCCCTGATCTAACATTTCCATGGATTATAGGAACTTTTTGTCTGGTGTGAAGATAAACCAATCCCGTGCTATTCCCAGCGCAATCTTCTGTCTCCTAGCCCAATTCAGAACCAGTTTTCCTGGTTTACTTTCTGAAAATCAAGAAGGTAACCATAAGACTTTCAACATTTCGATCAAGGGAAAGGAGTGAAAAAGTGAAATACCGTGCAACAAATCATGAAGGCTTATATTGGGAAGACAGTCGTAAATGAGAAGCTATTTTCCTCTTTTCCCCTCATAGAAAGGCCTAAAATGGAACCAAATGCTCATGTTAAAATACGTCCCAATTGCTTGATTATAGGCAGACAAAAGCTTCTATCCTTGCTACCTTCTCTCAAAAGCCTCAGGGCAATTGTTGTTCCACAATCACTAAGCTTTGCCTTATAGACAGTACATAACTCGTTTTCTCCATTACTTGCCCTGTCGAATTCAAACCTTCTTCTAGTGTCAAATTCTCACAACGTTGAAACACAAACAACTTCCCTTCACCGTCACTAACTTCTTCTTCTTCCTTACCTTCTTCCAAATCATCTTCACTCTCTAAGCTATTCTTATGCTTATTGTTCTTCATATACCTGATTAATAAAGAGGCCGTGACTACAATCCAGGTCATTAATGCTATCACAAGACCAGTAACAGCACTTGCCCTCAACCTAGAGGAACCTAGACATGGTTTTAAAGGTAACCCACAAAGGCTTGGACTGTTCCCTTCGAAGACTTCAGCACCAAACTTTGATCCACCAAAACTTGGCAATACCTCAGTGAAGTGAACCAGTGAGATTTGCAGAAGGGAGTTGCAGAGGGAGAAGATGAAGAGTGGAGTCATTGAAGAAGAGAGAGAGATGTTAGTCCATTGTGGTGAAGAGAGGTCAGTAGAATGGAGAAGAGACCCATTTGAAAATACCAATTTTACCCCTCTCCATTGACAAACCGGAACAGAGGAGTCCCAAGAAGACAACGGTAGGTTCTCGCTGGTACCCTGTAGTGAAGCTTGACCTTTTCTAGCACAAGCTTCACATCATAGGAAGATGATGACGTGGCACCAAACTCCCCAAAAAAGAAGAAAAAGATGAAAATGTGAAGATATCTCATGGCAGCCATGAAAGGCTCGTTCTTAAAAGCTGATAGAGAGTGTTGACCACATTTGTAAGCACTTGAGTCAAATCCTTCCATGGCGATGTCTTCATTAGATGCTGCCTCATAGGATCTTCCGTAGTCCTTGAATCTAAACCGTTAACGCGTTGTAGTAGTCATGTGATTGAGTGAACCGATGGTAGATAAAACAGTTGAAAGAAGGGGCTAAAATGGGAAGTGAGAACAAAGAGCAAAAGGGCAAAAGCCAAAGTTTGGAAAAGAGGAACGGTGAAACTTGAGCGAGAGTAGCAATGTTTCTTGGCAAATAAACATGTTGTGATGATGGGTAAATGTGCCCATTTCAAAACAATTTCTTAACCAGAACTTTACCAATCACCTGCTTACACCGTTGCAAGCACATACAATCCTAAGTCTCATATCTGTATACATTTAAGATCTGTCTCATATAAGAGCTTACTTGTACTTGTCCATGATTTTCTTTGCTTCTTCAAGTGGATCATCCATTGGCTTAGAACCAGAGCTATTATCATCTCCTCTTAATTTAGGAGCTTCATCTTTGTTTAAGGCTATGAATAAGAAATATGCAAATCCCATTGTCCCCTGCAACACTCACAGAAAATTAGCTTTATAAACACTGAAAAAATTCCTCGAAAAGGGAAAGGATTACACATACCAATACAAAGAAAGCGGTTGATAGAAACGACTTGAGAACAAACAACGAAACCGCCAATGCTGCAATTGTCACCGAGATTCTAGCTACTGGTCTAGGCACAGAAACCTTAAAACAAAAAGGATAATAAACACAACAAAGTGTGACTAAAACCATTTAGAGTAGAGTTTAATCAGTGAAGACAAGACTAAGAGAGCTCACAGGTACAAGATTGGTTCCAGCTTCAATTCCATCTTTCCCAATATTCCACGCCGTTCTAAGAACTGTTATCAATAAACCCTCAAATCCATATTAACTCCAATCAAATTTTACCAATTTTGGAGATTACTCAATGACCCTTTTGCTTAATTTCATAAACTTAGCAAACAAAACTATAAATTCCAATTACAAAAGAACAGAGTGAGGGTAAAGAACAAACCTTTCAAGAAACTGGACTGAGCAGACAAAACAAGGGTTTTGGACCGAACTCGTTGGGGTTGAAGAGGAGCAATTCGAGTTCTCAAATTCAGCAAAGATGCGTTTTTTAACCTCAAAACAGAGCAAGGAGAGAGGAACGGAGAATTTGGGAATTGGGTTAGGGTTTGTAGAAATCTTGGAGCGAGAGGCGAAGGATTCAAAGAAGGAAACGGAGATAGAGAAGAAGCCATGAACATATGAATGCAACTCAAATTCTCTACAAGAAGAGATGAATGAGATTGAAGAACTAATCGGATTATATCGTAGAGAAAGTTGTTTTATCAAAAAAATAATCTGAAAATATTTGTAATAAAAAACTTCTGCTTAAAAAATCTAAACATTATTTTTGAAAAAAACTTAAAATTAAATTTAATACGTGAAAACGTGTTGAACTTATGATACTATAATATTTACAGACCAAAAGAACGGAATGTTAAGTCTAACCGTTTTCCTATATTTAAATCAAATATTTATGTTTGAAAATATTTTGTATATAAAAAACTTTTAGCTAAAAAATATTCAAACGATTTACTGAAAACATTATTTTTGAAAAAACCTTAAAATTAAATTTAAATACTTGAACTTATGATACCACAATACTTACAGACCAAAAGAACGGGATGCTAAATCTAATCGTTTTCCCGTATTTAAATTGAAAATTTAAGTTTGAAAATATTTTGTTTATAAAAAGCTTTTAGCTAAAAAATATCTAAACGATTTACTGAAAACACTATTTTTGAAAAAACCTTAAAATTAAATTTAAATATATGAAAACATGTTATACTTATGACACCACAAAACTTACGGACCAAAAGGACGGGATGCTAAGTCTAACCGTTTCACGTATTTAAATTTAATATTTAAGTTTGAAAATATTTATATATAAAAAACTTTTAGCTAAAAATATCTAAACGACTTACTTAAAAAATTATTTTTTATAAAACTTTAAAATTAAATTTAAATACGTGAAAACATGTTGAACTTATGACACCACAAGACTTACGGACCAAAAGAACGGGATGCTAAGTCTAACCTTTTTAACGTATTTAAGTTTTAAAATATTTTGTATATAAAAAAATAAATTTAGCTAAAAATATCTAAACGATTTACTTAAACCATTATTTTTCATAAAAACCGTAAAATTAACTTTAAATACATAAAAACATGTTGAACTTATGACACCACAAGACTTACGGACCAAAAGGACGGGATGCCTAAGTCTAACCGTTTTAACGTATTTAAATTTAATATTTAAGTTTAAAAATATTTTTTATATAGAAAACTTTTCGCTAAAAAATATCTAAACGATTTACTTAAAACATTATTTTTGGAAAAAACATTAAAATTAAATTTAAATATTGTTGAACTTATGACACCACAAGACTTACGGACCAAAAGGATGAGATGCTAAGTCTAACCGTTTCACGTATTTAAATTTAATATTTAAGTTTGAAAATATTTTGTATATAAAAACTTTTAGCTAAAAAATATCTAAACGATTTATTTAAAACAATATTTTTGAAAAAAACCTTAAAATTAAATTTAAATACATGAAAACATGTTGAACTTATTTAAACGATTTATTTAAACTTATTTTAAAAAATCTAAACGATTTATTTAAAACATTATTTTTCAAAAAAACCTTTAAATTAAATTTAAATACATGAAAACATGTTGAAATTTAAATTTAAATAGCCTTATTTATTCATCCTTTGTACGGAAATGCTAATTGCAAATATTCGATAAGCAGAACAGGAAAAATTGATTACGGGTATCAAAGTAGCAAACGCAAGTCCTTCGGCTTTACATCTGTTATTTACGGATGATAGTTTATTCTTTTGCAAGGCTAACAAGGACCAGTGTGGGGTAATTTTGGGGATTTTAAAGAAGTACGAAGTGGTCTCGGGACAGCAGATAAATTTTTTAAAATCATCGATTCAGTTTGGACATAAGGTAGATGATGACACCAAGGAAGAAATCAAATCTACCTTGGGTATCTCTACTATCGATGGTATGAGTTCTTATCTCGGATTGCCGAAGAGTTTAGGTGGCTCCAAGACAAAAAATTTCTCTTTTGTTAGAGATAGATTACAAACAATTAACGGATGGTCGGCCAAATTTTTATCGAAAGGCGGGAAAGAAGTGATGATTAAATCGATAGCTGCAGCTTTACCAACTTATGTTATGTCGTGCTTCAAACTACCAAAAACAATCACTTCAAAACTCACTAGTGCGGTTGCTAATTTTTGGTGGAGCTCGAATGGGGATTCCAGAGGTATGCACTGGATGGTTTGGAATAAATTGTGTAATAGTAAATCGGAAGGGAGATTAGGATTTCGGAATGTAGACGATTTTAATTCAGCCTTATTAGCAAAACAATTATGGCGGTTGATTACGGTTCCGGATTCTCTCTTCGCAAAGGTTTTTAAAGGGCGGAATTTTCGAAATCTAATCCTTTGAAAAATAGAAAATCATACTCTCCATCATACGGATGGCGGAGTATATGTTCAGCTAGATCTCTGGTTAATAAATGACTTATTAAAAGAGTCGGATCTGGGACATCCATCTTAGTTTGGGAGGACCCCTGGATTCCAGCTCAATTCCCGAGACCAGCAAAAAGTAATGGGTCAATTGTTGATCCATCTTTAAAAGTTGTCAATCTTATAGATAGTTGGTCGAACTTTTGGAATATTGATCTCCTACAGGCGATCTTTGAACCAGACGATGTCGCACTAATAAGTGCCCTACCTGTGGGTGTGCCAACTAAAGAAGATACTCTAGGTTGACATTTTACAAAATCAGGAAAATATACAGTAAAATCGGCTTATCATATCACACGGATAGAAAAGTCGGAGACCAATGTATATTTTATGGGCCCAGACATCAAACCGCTATAAACACATTCTTGGCAAGTGCGATGTTCACCTAAGATACGCCATTTCTTGTGCGAAATTTTAACGGGTTGTGTACCGGCTACAGAGAATTTGCGAAAAAGAGAAATCGACTGTGACACAGGATGTGCCAGATGTGGCGCACCAGAGAAAACGATCAATTACACACTCTTTCAGTGCCACCTGGCACGGCAGATTTGGGCGCTTTCACAGATTCCTACGGTTATGGGGAATTTTCCCACGGAATCTATTTTTGCGAATTTGGATCACTTATTTTGGAGAATACCTTCGGAATTCGATTCATCAGCTTTTCCATGGATTATCTGGTATATTTGGAAAGCAAGGAATGAAAAAATATTTGAAAATATAGACAGTGACCCACTAGAGGTATTACGGTTAGCGGAAAAAGAGGCACACTTGTGGCAGTCAGCTCAAATCGAGCTCATTAATGAAAATCACGGTTCTATGGATTTGGTATCTCGATCTCGAGTAAGGGATGCTTCACTTGAATCGAATTATTCGGGATACTGTTGTTTTGTGGATGGATCATAGAAAGAAAGTGATAAGTTCTCCGGTACAGGATGGTTCTGTACATCATCAAGTGGACAGCCACCGACCATGGGAGCTGCCAGCCTCCGTAGAAGTCTATCTCCACTACATACAGAAGTCGAGTGATGTAGCGTAGAATTAGGATAATTCCCATTTATTTATATTTTAATTATATTATTTATTTTAGTCTTTATCTTTTAGTGTTTCTAGAATATTCTAGGGTTTTCTTATATTTTGTTATAAATAAGCCAGCCGTTAAGGCCTGCTTTTGTATTGAGTTGATTTGATTAATAAAATTAAAGAGCTTTTAGCTTTTCAGAGAAGAGTATTCTCTAATCCTTGTTTTCGGTAGATCTCGAGAGATCTCAACGATTATAAGAAGACGTAGGATTCGGTATTCGCAGAGAATCAACGAATTCCTCACGTTCTCTCGTTTCTGGTATTCTGAGGAATCAACAGATCCGAGAAACCCTAGTTTTTCGGTATTCCAAGGAATCAACGGATCTCTAGTTCTATCCTTAAAGCTTCCGCTACTTCACGAGGCCCTTCTCTGGGCGATGAAGTGTATGATTGGTGCAGATAATCAAGAGGTAGCGTTCTTTACAGACTTTTCATAACCGAATGCCGGCGTTTTCAGTATATTTGGAGAAATTTTAGAGCGACAAGGAAGAATTCTCAACCTTCTCTTTATTTTTAATTTCTCGTAGTGCTAATGTAAAAGCGGATAATCTTGCATGGAAAGTTCGTATAGAACCGCATCATATCACATATGTAAACAACATTCCCCAGGAATGACTCTTTTGAGCTTTAATTAATTTCAGATGACAAAAAAAAAAATATTGAACTAATGACACCACAAGACTTACGGACCAAAAGGACGGGATGCTAAGTCTAACCGTTTTCACGTATTTAAATTTAATATTTAGTTTTGAAAATATTTTGTATTTAAAAAAATTTAACTAAAAAATATCTAAACGATTTATTTAAAACATTATTTTTGAAAAAAATTAAAATTAAATTTAAATACATGAAAACATGTTGAACTTATGACACCACAAGACTTACGGACCAAAAGGACGAGATGTTAAGTCTAACCGTTTTCACTTATTTAAATTTAATATTTAATTTTGAAAATATTGTGTATATAAAATTTTTTAGCTAAAAAGTATCTAAACGATTTATTTATAACATTATTTTTGAAAAAACCTTAAAATTAAATTTAATTACATGAAAACATGTTGAACTTATGACACCACAAGACTTACGGACCAAAAGGACGAGATGTTAAGTCTAACCGTTTTCTCATATTTAAATTTAATATTTAAGTTTGAAAACATTTTAAAAAAATAAAATATTTTCTTTTACAATATTAGTTACGAAAAAACTTTTATTTTTGTTTGAAATCAGAAAATTTATAATTGAAAATATATTTTTTACCATATCAATTATTATTATCTATAACGTTAATTAGTAAAAAAAAATCCAAATCTTTATTAAAAAAAAGTAAGGAAATTAAGAAAGGAACAAACCTGATAAAATATCGAAATAGCCTCCGAGCGGCTGGCTTCTAAAACCAGGGAAATCGTGTCTGTGGTAGTAGGATACGAAACCATTGTGGGTTTTGTGCAAGCTCAAATCCCTGCAATATTAAAGCCATAGATGTGTTAATGCAATGTTCAAATATTTCTCTTTTCAAACTTAATTATTCCTACTCTTTTGGTTCACGTCACTACAAAACCAAATCTAGTGTTGATACAATGACAAGGTAATCAGATAAAAGTATAGAAAGAATGAGAATTTATCACTGTAATCCA